ATGACAATTTTAAATTGGTTGAATAATGATGGAAATTGGGCTTGTATACCTCCAATATGGCGACCAATGGAAAATAAATTTTGCTAAAATCGTATTTATCAAAAACTATCTATTATTAATGTTATTTCCATACAAAAAAGAAAGTATTATTCACAATGGACAATGTCTGATACATGGTTAATTTGTGTCTAATATATGGTGAAATGAACATACTAGTAAAAAACAAGTACAAAAAAATAAATACAAAACTTTGAAATGAAATTTCTTGAAATTTCCTATAAAATTATCAATCATTAACAAAGTTCACTTAAGGAGGATTTGTTCCCTTGAAGTCTAATGAAAGAAAGACAACTCTAAAAATTTGCAAATCATAAAATTCTGGTTATTCCCTTTGATGATGTCAAATACTGTAAAGTCGCTTGTATTGGCTGCACTTACACAAATTTTAACTTTATCCTTAATATTTAAGAATAGAAGCGATTTTGTTATGTATTAATGAAAAATATTACATCTATACCCAGAAAATTCAGAGTAGATATGTTCGAAAGCAAAACCAACTGACCAGTATTGTCAGTCCGTGCTCTGTGATGTGTACAGAGTTTAACAAATTGAACACACCCTTGAAACGTAAACTGTTTTTGTAAACAGGGCATGAGCTCTGTTATTGTTAATGTTTACGATTCACCGGGTGTGTTCAATTGTTAAACTCTGCACACACCACTGAGCATGGACTTACAATACTGTGAGTGGGTTTTGCTTTCGAACATTTCTACTCTGAATTTTCTGGGTTATAATATTAATATTTTTCATTAATACACAACAAAATTGCCACTTTTCTTAAGTATTAAGAATAAAATTAAAATATGTGAAAGTGCAAGGATGTGTCAATCCAACGCGTCCAGAAATTTGAAGTTTTAATAACTTCGAGATGAAACAAGATTTTTATTATATTTTAGTATGAAATGCTATGGCAACATATAAGTCATGAAATTATACAGAAAATTTGAGAAAATATTAACTGCAAATTTGTGTCCAAGCACTTTTAATTTTTTTTTTTCATAAGTACGTGTTTTTTTTTTGGGGGGGGGGGGGGGTTTCTTTTTCTCCATGGGCATATATTTTGGAAACATTCTAATTTTTGTTTTACACTATATTTAATCATACCGATTTATTGATCTTATTATTAAATTTATTAGTCAATTTGCCAAATAATAAACGTCCTTTGTGTGTAAAACTATTGATTCACTGGGGTTGAGTGTTTTTCAATTTATTATGTGGTACCTTCGCGAATTTGGTCGCAAAATGACAGCAAATATTAGCACTTCGCGTAAGTCGTGCTCCACAGTTAAATCTGAAATGAAGGAGAACCCTGGCATACTATATAAATGAATGATAGCTAGGGCTTTTAAAATTCATATTATGTTATAGAAAAATTATAATGTCAATCAGTGATGATTTTGATGATTTTATTGAGCTTGACTATATGTTTAACAAAATCTACTTTCAGTTAGGACACTGAAAACAAAAGAACCGCCATAGTCACTTCCTTGATTGTACAAACCTCTTCTAAAAAAGTTAGTGGGCTCTTTGAAATTTTTATAAAGGAAATTAAGAGTCATGTGTCATTCAGAATGCTGACCTGCAATGATCAGATTCATGTCACTGTGTATTTATTAGAGATCCATATCTCTTCCCTCATCTAATAAGGCTTATCAACTGTTATTTTCTTTGGTTCCAATTTCTTGGTAATAAAAAAAATTGATGCCTTCAATAAGTGCATTCCAACAATCAGTTATGATAGACTGGCATATCGATGATGTAACATATCCAATATAAATAACTGTCCCACCTGCCAGTTTACAGGGAAACAAAACCTCCCTAAATAATAAAAAGAGTGCACCAAGGGAGACAATCTCAAAAGTTGTGTATTGTTTACATTTTGCAAGGAGAATGATTAGGGTTGGCTCATATAATGTAGGGTCAGTTCAGGAACCCAGAAATGAACCATTTATTTTTCTAGGCCTAATGATATTTTTTTTCGGAAATGAAGGGGAAAAAAAAATTCAGTAATGATTACTGACAAGTTTTCAAAACCTTTGATAATGCACTGTAGCCAACAATTGTAAAGAGTTAACCCTTATATCATGGGTTTGAATCCACTGTGAGGGGGAGACCAATCCTTCCAATGAGATGATACTAGTAAGACAGAGATGAAAGTGTATCCAACTGAAAAAGGCTGAAGACTTAGTAGCCTATGTGAGAGTTTTTGGGTCACACAGGACATTTGGTCCTGTGTACTCAAGGAACACACAGCACTGAACCAAATTTTGTCAGACCGAAAAACCTAATGTAAAAAGTGAAACAACCAAGCTAGGGATTACTCCTGAAGCACTGTACATCAGTCAGGTCAGATGTCTTTTGGAAAGATTTAGCATGGGGGTTTGGGGGCTACAGGGGGCAAAGCTCCATTATGGGCTCAGGGAATGAAGTGAAGGATAGTACTGGGGGCATTCTAGGCACACTACAATACAAATTCATGGGCTTTATGTACATGTATTACAATTTTAGGTAGAACAAAACACATGTGAAATCAGTTTTAACCCATTTCCTTTAAATTAATGCACAAGAAAAGAAGAATAAAATCACTTTAACATCATTTATCAATGATCTTTGTTAGAAAACTGCAAAATATGAAGATATGTACCCTTTTCTTTAAAAAATTGGGGATATCCCACATAATGGACATTCTTGAGCCTACATTTAGAATGTGTTTACATCATCTCCATGTGATTTAACTGTTATCAAATAAAGTGTCATTCTTGATTCATTTATTGTAGAAACATGATGTTTGGATATATGTATAAGGAGTTGCCATGCTTTATACTTGTACAATAAAGGTCAAGGTCATATTTAGAGGTTGAGTATTATGATGTCATCTACTGATTCTTTTTTTAATTTTTTTTTTGGCATTGAAATTTTTTAACCTCCAAAAGTATCTGAAACCCATGGTTCAATTTTCTTCATTTTTACACATTTTAATCTTTAATTTGTTCTATGTCAATCATTCTCTTGATTTTTTGTTAAATATGAATTATACATTTTCCTTTTGAGATCTGAAAGTGTAGCATATTTACATGTGAATCTACAATTCCCAAGCTATGTATTTCTATTTTTACATCACAGTGTATTCAAATATACATGTACTTGTATCAATATATTTTCAGGGTTTGACATTAACTTTTATGAGTGCTAGACCAGTCGGGCTACTTCCCTTAATTTTTACTAGCCCTGACCATAAAATCACTAGCCCTGACTAAACTTAAAAATTTTCTTTTCATAACCTGCTATTATAATGAAAAAAAGTTTTGAAACCATACTACAGTGTATCTCTCGCACATGTTCAGGTATACATTTTGACAGACTGTTCCATAGGTAGCAGCCCATTGAGTCCATACATGTAGGTAGCAGCCAATGAGTCAATGAGTGAATATTATAAGCTTTAAAGAACATTAATTCAAGGAACTTAAATAAAATTATTACCATAAATATACATGTAAATAAATTGAAAAACTATATTATTGGATGACTTTTCATACCAAATGATACTGAAGCTAGTTTCGATCGTGACTTGTCTATTACAGCCGCGCTCAAAAATAGCGATTGTGTCATGCAGGGAAGTTTTCTTTTTCAGAGCAATTGGCTGTGTTTGCAATAGGAAAATTAAGAAAATTTCTTTAAAAAGTTTTAGAGCATCAGGGACTGACAAATCCCATTGCCCGACGCCTGGGACTAGTGAATTTTAGAGGTGGGCAAGTGAAATTTTATCAACCACTTGCCTGTGGGCAAGTGACAAAAAAAATTAAATACACATGTAAGTCATAGAAATATAGCTAGACACAGGGGCTTCATGATCTACTCAGTATTTGTCTTCCTATTTTTTGAAATATATATAAATATATACAGTATCAGTTTATGGTCATGATGGTGGGGCAAGCAAAAATTCAGGTAGGGCAAGTGAATTTTGACCAAGCACTTGCCCTTGGACAAGTTCCCTAAAACATCTATTTGTCAGCCCCTGAGCATTTATTTGAAAGACTGAAATGAGGGTTAACATTTATTTCATCCACACGACCAGTCGGTCTAGTTCATGAACATTTAACACGACCGGACCACACATTTACTAGACTGGGTCGGTCAGAAGTGCCTTAGTGTCAAACCCTGATTTTACTGAATTAACAAAAAGGTTGTAACCTTTATAAACATCTCACACATTTGTAATATATCAAATGATCATTTTAAACAATGCATATGCTAATTTTGAATGTCTGAAATGTCTGATACAGGGGTCAGATAGGCTATATTCAAAGTATGTGGACCAAAAAAAAATAAAGAGTGGATGAATTTCTCTTATACATAAAGAGAGATTCTGCATCTTAAAGCAAAAGCCAAAGTTCCAAAAAAAAATGAAATTGGAGAAACTATAATAATGGTAATGGTTTTGCTGTTCATTAGAATGATTGATTGATTATATGGTGTTTATGTTCCATTCAAGAATTTTTCACTCATACACAAGGGCTTCAAATATAGACCTACTACTCAGAACTCAGGGCCATGAGCAGTGAGGGTTCTTTACGGTGCCAATCCCTATTGTGACACAGGACCTCAGTTTTTTTAGGTCTCATCCAAAAGACCCGTGACTTTCACTTCTATGTTGAGCACTTGGTAAAGGAACAGTCACTACCTATGTTTACGCCTTAAGTTTGACCTGGCACGGCAAATGAGAATCAAATTTGGGCCTCCCAATCATGAAGCAAATGCCCTACCACTAGGCTACTAGGCCCTACCACTAGGCTTATGTGACCAGTTGCTGTTCATTAGAAGAAATTTTTTGTCAAAACACAAAAAATCAATACTATGACTAGTTATCATCATTTTCAGAAATGATGAAATCCAATTCACCTGACATTTTCAAATTTTGAAAATGATCTGTTTATACTTACCCGAAGTGTTACAAAGAGTTGGATTGCATTGGATAATGGTGAAACCTGTGGTATTCCAAAATGATGACATGTTCTGAAGAATGCAAGATATCCAAAACACCATATAAATGCATACATGTGGCATTTCCTGCAAAAAGAAAAACAGATTGAGACAGTGTAACTTATGTAACTGTAAGTTATTATTAGGAATGAGACTTAAAATACCTGCATTCTGCTGATGAAGCCATTTTTGACATTTTCCCTTTTTCAGACCCACTGGGCTATGTTAATTAATCTAGTCATTGGTAGTCATTGTCATTACTAACAACATGAGAATGCTAGCATACATATTTCAGTATGACCAATTGTGATCTTTCTGTACTATTTTACCAAATGTAAAACATTGATCCCTATTGCAAATACATTTAACCTCAGGGATCATGATTTGAAAATTGCTGGATTACACATTTTTTCCACATGATGCAGATTTACATGAAGTGCAAACTCACAAAACATCTGAGAATTTTGTATCAACATTCTCAAAGTTGATGAATTGTTTACTATATGGGGATGCTTGCATAACTATGGTCCTGTCCTTCTTAAAAGCGGGTTTTTATCACGTATCTAAATTTCTTAAAAATAAAACACTATAATATTCTTGAAAAATATAATTATCGTTTAATTATGAAATAATTTTGAAAACGGTCATAATTAGGCAACAAAACACCCGTAATATTGAGTTCTCAAAGCAAAATATCCACTAATTAGATAGGGGTCATGTGCTACTGAAACATGACAGGTGTCAAAGGTCAATTAGAACTTGTAAAACTTTATCGTACTAAGAGAAATATATCAAATAGATTTTGACGTTAAATAAATAGACAACACAATAAGGTCAGTGAAAATTTTGACATCGACGAAATTCTTTTGGTTATGGAAAATCAATCTTTTATGTATGCACGTCTAGCAGAGAGAAATGACCAATAAAATATGTCGACAATAGGATAGGAGAGGGCATCGAAGATAAAGCCCTTGACAACTCAGGACTTTGACTAAATAGAACGAATTACTTAAGTTTGACTTCGAAAATATTTATAAATATGAGAATTTTACATTCAACTTCCTTCATTATTTCAATAAATTATGTATAAATAAATCTTTATATCTTCTATCTCTTCCAATGAATATCATGTACTAGAAATGACACTTCTTCAGCAACAGTGTTCAATGGCGCTGTACACTAAATATTACGAAGTTAACAACATTCTTACTAGATTCTGTGCCACTTTAAAAATGTGTGTTGGGTATTTTTTTCTGTTTTATAAAGGTACCATGTCCTTAAAATATTTTATAGTACAGAAAAAAATTAGCGATTGGGCATAAATGATTGTTCTGAATGGAGACAAAGTCCTCGCGTTTGCAGAAAAAAGGGCCCTGTTCCACATCTAGACCAGGTCAAGGAAATGTGAAAAAAGTGTTCGTAAACCCTTTCTTGTGCATATTTATGCATCCTAAAACCACAAATTATACCTTACTAGCTGTCAATTATCCAATTATCTTTTATTTATTTACTAACAGGTTTAACAGACTCAACAAATGAGCCTTTTGTATACACAATAAGTACTTTGCTAGACCACAATTGACACCTATGACGTCAGAGCAATGGCACGTAGCATCGGCGATCAAAATATGCATGTTGAGAAATTCAAACTTGGAATCGCTGAAACATCAACAATATCAATTTTCTAGCAAATATTTTTAAATATATGATTTTAATAGCATGTAAACTTTGTCAAATCAAAAAATTTTGAGACGTGATAAAAATCCTTTAAAAGAAGAAGATGATCAGCCATGAATATGGTGTTTGTTGTACACGTGTCTTCCCTCTTCTGTCCTTCCTGTCATACTATGTGTCACTGTGTAGCTCAATTTCAAAGAAACTGTCTGACATAATTCTATCAAACTTCATACATTGAAACATACTGGTGATCGAATGCTATTCAACTATCCATTTCCAAAATGTGGTATATAAATATATATATATATTTATATATATATATATTGAACTGACTTTATTTTCGTTAAGTATTTGTATACAAAATTCAATTCATAAAAAAACCTTAGTTAACCAAGGTATGTTTTGTAATAATTGCTTCTTTAACATATTAGGTAGTTATACTTGAAGGAAAACATGTATATTGTGAATTCGCTATCTTAAGTTATACGAAATCATTATACGAATTACGGATATAGCGTATTAAATTCACAGGTCACCAGGACTTCGCTATAACCAAGTTTTACTGTAAATAAATAAACAAATAAAACAAGAGGCCCATCGTTCATCTGAGCACATTGGCTAGGAAAAAGCTGCTACAGAAATCAGCTCAGTATTCAAAAGATTATACATCAGTAGAACCTTGTTATCTTGAACTTGATGGGACCAAGAAAAAAACTTCGAGATATCCAAGGATTTGAGACATTAAGAGTAAAATAATTCCCATAATGAATAAGTGGTTACTAGGATTTCCACTTCACTTTGACATATTAGTGGTATTCAAGATATTGGTATTTGAGATACCTGGGTTTGACACTAAGGCATGTCCGACCTACCCTGGATACAGAAGATTAACTGAATATGATAAATGATCATAAACATCCCCAAATCAAAGAAAATATGGTTCCCTAACCCTCAAACAAATAGCTAAATTGAAATTACTAAAAATAATTATTTATCATTTTATTAGTCTATGTTTTTGAGGCGATCTGGGAAAAGTTATTCTGGTATAAGCGGTGTTTTACAATCATGTTTCCACTAGGTGGCGTTGTTGGTCATGTAGGGTATAAATATAAGTGAAGTGGCAGAATTTAATGAATTGCAAAGTTACTGCAGAACCAGTAAGACAAGCGGATCATTTATGACCAAAGTTAAGGACAATAAATAAATATTTAAAGCTTTAGATGTGACTGAACAAGACTTTCCTGGTTTTATATACTATTTGTTATTAAGAAAGAGACTTTGGGAATCAGCAACGGCTGTTAAGAGCTGAACTCCAGGAACTGTGCTGTAAGAGCCGGTATTATAAGAAAAGAGCTTGTAAGAGCTGGGAGTCATAGGAGCCAATCGAGCTGTAAGAGCTGATCACTCAAGAGTCAGAATAACTTTAAATTGTTGTATATAACTGATTAAAGACAAGTAGTCTTCACATTTTTCAGTATATATTGCTGAATTGTATTTGTGGATAAATTATACAGGTTGCATGGTTATAGAATGTGTCTAGAACTAGAGAGTGAAAGGTCGTTGATTGACCAATGGTGGAAAGTGGTGAAATACATCCCCAAAGTGCGCAGAAAATCTTGTGCCGTAAATTGCACTTTATTTACATTACGGGATCTGTAGCGTTATGGTCAAAGACTAAAATATAAAACCATAACGCTACAGTTCGGCAGTTACTCTGAGATACACAGCTTCTTCTAGGCCCTACTGCTTTCCAGCTGAATTTCCTCTGCAACTGACCACTTGTCTTAGTTTTGCATGTACAACTCTGTATATGCTATAATACATCATAGTCACATCTAAATGTTGCTCATCTTTTTTTCAGCAAGCACTCTGCTACACTGCAAATGTATCCCATAATTATTCTAATCATTTTTTCTATATAAATATCACATCAAACAGGGAATATCTCAGTTTTTAAAAAAATTTGACACGTAAGTAGTACAAAACTATTCCCTGCCACCAACAGGTCCAGCACAATCTCCTGATTTAGCTATATAGCTTGAATTAGCTATATAGCTTTATTAAGCTATTCAAAATAGCTTGATTTAGCTATTTTATCATACATTTTTCTTAAATATGTTATTTTCTCAGCAATGCACAAAAAATCGCTCCTTGGTGCAGTGATAATATTCAACCTTGAAATCTTTTGAATATAATGCATGTAAAAATCACTCATCAAATTGTGTCTCCTTAAGAGACTTTGTACTCAAAGTTCTATACGTTTTGAGGCTATATAAAGCAATTGATACAGTTACTAATATATTAATTAAGGAGGACAATTATGGTCCACAAGATAATTGATTGGTAATAATTCAGTACAATGAGAAGCAATCATACTTTTCCATGCCTCAACGCACACAAGGTAGTGTACAGTTACTCAATGGAAATACATCTTTTGCTTAAAAGTATTCAAATGCTGCAATGTTAGAACTATCTTTGATTTCGGTTGTTGTTTTGATAGCCCAGTAAGCCCATAATACATTATATAAATAGTCAAATACTTGCGACTTTTTGTGTATTTCTTACAAAAAAATTTTTGTGAAAAACTCTAAACAAATAGCTTTATCAAGCTATTTTGAATAGCTTAATAAAGCTATATAGCTATTTCAAGCTATAAAGCTACATGTAAATCAAGAGATTGTGTTGGACCTGACCAAAGCGAACCAGGAAACAAATCTTAGGAACGCGCATCTTCCACATTATCTCTTCAATTTGATAGCAATACTCATGAAAATATAATTATGAATCTTTGTAAAAATATTAAAATTTAAAATATCTCCTTCAGTTTACCTTGGTCCCACAACTTTAATAATAAAAATGTTCACAACTGTAACAGCGACAGGGTGTAAACTGTGACGGCCGATAGTGATTAACGCCACCACTGCCCCCACCAATGTGCATGCTAGTTTTTTGGTTTCTGGAGATGATATTTGTTTCACCAACAGTCCAACAGGCACTGAAAATACTAGGATAATGGAATAGACGACATCGTCCGTTACCTCCACCATTTTCTGGTCCTCTTTCCCGAGAGGACCAGCTTACAGTTTAATATAATTTTCTGCCTCCGGAAACTGAAGAGTTTGTAAGTTGTGGCGGCTGGTTTCAATATCTTATTAATTTAATATGCATATTAATTTGCAAGCAACCAATGAAAATCTCCTTATTTATAACTATCTTACACATACAAACAATATTATAATAATTTAGAATTAAAAAAATCATTTCTTATTTTTAGGTGGAATAGCTACAATATGATTTATCTTCAAGCTATACCATATACATACCGAATTTGTGTCAAAGGTAAATTTTGACAATGAGAATAAAAGTATATTTAGCCGTCAGCATAACTTGTCGTTACCCTCACCCATCGGTGGATCCAGGAGTCTTCAAAATTAAGGGGGGGGGTAGGCCGAGGGAATTTGGGATGACCTTAAGCATGTTAAGGTTCATTCTTTAATCCCTATCTACACACATATAAAATGTTGCTTTAACTCTTAGGTTCTTCCAAAAGAAATTTATTTTATAAGTAAAATGAGGGACGTACGTATATAGGTCCCTAGTAAAATGATGTAACAGGAGAGGACTCAGGAGAAAAATGCAATGGACCAGGTCCCCTGAATAGGTCTGGGCGGCCTCCGTTTTTGGAGGATAGCTAGATTCAATATGGCGGACAAATTTTTTACCATATATGGAAACTGCATTGCATTGTGGGATAGTTTATCCTCCGATTTCAGAGGATAACAGGTAACTTTCAAATGCCTTGTGCCTACCTTTAATCAAAAAGTGCAAGCACCAGAGTACATGTAAATAAAAGTTCAAACATTAAACTATCGATTGTGTGTGGCGATTAGAGATTGTATGTCTAGAATTTTTACAATATGCTTTCAAAGTTGGCACTTAATGTGCTCCATTTTTAGGTCACCTGAATCACTCAGGTGACGGCTATTGCAATCTCTTTTCGTCGTGCATCGTTGGTGGGTCATAAACTTTTGAACATTTTCAGCTTCTTTGGAACCAGTGAACCAATTTCAATCAATTTTGGCATATAGCATCTATGGGTTAAGGGGAACAAAAATTGTGAAATCCATGGCCCCTGGGGCCTGAGAGGTGGGGCCAAAACAGCAGTCAACCTGTTGGCATGATTGTAATAAGCATTGAACCCTCTACTTAAATTGTGAAATTCATGGCCCCAGGGTCAGGGGTGCTGGTGCTAGGGCGGGGCTATATAGATCATATAGTGAAAGTGCATTATTTCTTTGAAAATCTTCTTCTCTACTCCTGGGTATTATTTAAACAAATTAAATACATAGTTATGATAAGCAAGAGTGACTATACCAAAATCGTGAAATTCATGACCCCAGGGTCAGGGGTTCTGGTGCTAGGGTAGGGCTATATAGATCATATAGTGAAAATGCATTATTTCTTTGAAAATCTTCTTCTCTGCTCCTGGGTATTAAACAAACTAACTGAGTACATAGTTATGATGAGTAAGGTTGCCTCTTCTAAAATTATGTATTTCATGGCCCCTGGGTCAGAGGTTCTGGTGTTAGGGTGTGGGCTCTATTGACTCTATAGTGAAAATGCATTAATTCTTTGAAAACCTTCTTCTCTGCTCCTGGGTATTAAATAAAGTAAGTACATATTTATGATGAGCAAGAGTGTCTCTTCCAAAATTGTGAATTTCATGGCCCCAGGGTCAGGGGTTCTGGTGTTAGGACAGGGCTCTATTGATTATATAGTGAAAGTACATTAATTCATTGAAAAACTTCTCTGCTTCTGGGTATTAAATAAACAAATTAAGAGCATAGTTATAGTGGGCATGGCTGCCTTTTCAGAAATTGTGAATTTCATGGCCCCAGGGTAAGGGGTTCTGGTGTTAGTGCGGGTCTCTACTGATTATATAGGAAAATTGCATAAATTCTTTGAAAATCTTCTTCTCTGCTCCTGGGTATTAAATAAACTAAGTACATAGTTATTACGAGCCTGGCTGCCTCCTCAGAAATTATGAATTTCATGGCCCGAGGGTCAGGGGTTCTGGTGTTAGGGCTGGGATTTGTTGATTATTCAGTCAAACTTGTTATAGCGGTCACCTTTATCAAGCGGTCACCTGTCCTATGCGGGCATTTTATTTCCTCCCAATGAATTTTCCTATATAATGTAACTCTTTTAAGTGGTCAGCTGCGTAACGCGGTCAGCGGTCATCAAATTTCATGAAAAATCGCCGTTTTACCTCGTATATAGCGGCCATTTTGTCCAATCACGTGACCAGATCTAAAGTCAAGTGACTGCCAATTTTTGTCACTAATGTAAATAATTGGTCTTGTGTAGCGAAATCATGGAAAAACTAATCGGCCTTATTAAAACCATTTAAAATATTGGATAATCTAAAAAAAAATTTATTTTTTTTTTAACAAAACTAAACAAGGGTGCTTGTGACCGAAAAGGTTATTAGGAAAACGGACTTACGAGAATCTTAATCTTATTTAATTGGAATATGGTTTAAAAAATTCTGAATGATACACAAGGCATCCTTATTTATCTATTAATGGATACAATAATTAGGTGTTTCTTAATTATTAGTTTACGTTTGGCATGCCCAACTCCGATAGGTGTAATTGTGTAAATGCATGACAGGCCGATTTTAACACATAGGAAACATATTATTTGTAGAAGCCCTAATTAACTGTTTTGTATACTCAATGTGTCCTGATTATCTCGTGATTTTCAATTAGGTAAGACGACCGTAGGATTAGTCACGCTTCATTGCTCACAACACCTGTGAATTTGATATCAATTTGTATTATGCACTGCTTTGATAAACTGAGAATATTATAACTTGTGTGTTTATAATTAAGCTCAGGTGACCTATTGCTATCTCTTTTCGTCCGTCTTCGTCAGTCGTAAACTTTTAAAATTTTCAGCTTCTTCTCTGGAACCAGCAAACCAATTTCAACCAATTTTGGCATATAGCATCTATGGGTGAAGGGGAACAAAAACTGTGAAATTCATAGCCCCTGCCCCCCTGGGGCCTGAGGGGTGGGGCCAAAACCATCAAAATTAATGCAATCTTTAAAAATCTTCTTCTTTACTCCTAGACATCAAGCAGTCAAACTGTAGGCATGATTGTAATAAGCATTGAGCCCTCTACCAAAATTGTGAAATTCATGGCCCCAGGGTCAGGGGTTCTGGTGCTAGGGTGGGGCTATATAGATCATAAAGTGAAAGCGCATTATTTCTTTGAAAAGCTTCTTCTCTTCTCCTGGGTATTATTTAAACAAATACATGGTTATGATAAGCAAGGATGCCTTTTCCAAATTTGTGAATTTCATGACCCCTGGATCAGAGGTTCTGATGTTAGGGCGGGACTCTATTTATTATATAGTGAAAATGCATTACCGGTAATGCTTTAAAAATCTTCTCTGCATCTGGGCATATCAGAGGCAAAAAGAGTAAAAGTCTTAATAAGGAAGGGTATTTTTTCCAGATTTTTGAACATCAGGACCATTTGGTCAAGTGTTCTGGTCCAGGCCAGGGCTCTAATAATTTGTATTCTACTGAGAGGAGTTATTCCCCTTTGCCATTTACTTGTGATAATTAATCACTGTAAATAATGTACTTGAAAGGTTGAATAGAATAAGAGAATTATGCAAGAATTTATATTGTATAATACAAAAAGTACTTTCATAGTTTTAATGATCAGGTAGACTTGTAAGTAATAGATAAATAAAAATGAGACAGAAATAACTTGTCTTATTAAATGTTCATCAAAGACCAAGAGGCCAATGTAAGAGATTTCAACAAGGAATAAAAGAGTACAGAAGCACTGATAGTTTGTTTATATACTGTCTGGTGAGAGTGATAAATGGGGAACAGATTAGAACCCAATTTATGAACTGTTAATGAATACTAGACTAATTTGTTGATCCTGATCACCGTATTTTTCTTGCTTTTGGGAACAAAGCTTCACCTTTCAGTTCATTTTATACTCTATGGATCCTCTAAATTGTTGTATTATACTCAGGTGACCGTTAAGGCCCTTGGGCCTATTGTTTGTTGGCGTCATCAAATTTATCTTGAACTTAATCTTGAGACTATTTAAATTTCTAAAAAAAAATCTAACTGAGACCATTGATATCCAAAACACATCTTTCTTTAATATTCTATGATGAAATATATGGAGATAACGAACAGTATTCAGGCTCAAAAGTCCATTAAACAATGCAAACACGGACCTCCAAACATCAGAGGTGGTATCAGGTGCCATGGAGGAGTGAGCATCCCCTGCCAACTGGTCACACCTGCCGTGTGCTCCTTGTCATGATCGGGAAATAACGGAAAAATCCGTCAACAATTCAGTGTGTGAATAATGTCCTAACAATTAGTATGAAAAACGTCAGTCAGCATTTGACTCAATGATAAATAGTATTTGCTGACAAGGTCATTGTATCGACCATAGAACTTACGAAATGATGACTTTAAACGAGACAGCTGATATTCTTGTTTCATCAACTTGTTTGTCAATAATTTACCTCGTTTTAAAAATTGTACATACGTAGAGCATGCTCTTGCGTATCGAATCAACTAAGAGATATATACCCCGTATGCAGATGATGAAGGTATATTGCTGCATAAGTAAGGGACATTGACGATTGAAAAGTTAAAGTCATCACATTTATCATAAAGCTTGGTTGTTAGATTACCATTAACATCTTTTTCAAGTAAAATATCCAAATATGAAACAGATGTGTCAGACTCTGTGGTATCTTTTATCTCAAGCTCACCGGGATATATCGTATCGACATAAGAATGGAAATAGCCATTGTTAATTGACAATACATCATCGATATATCTAAATGTCGAGTTGAAGACCACAGCAAGTGTTTTCTTCTTTTCACGTATAAGATTTTGGACAAATTCTGCTTCATATGAATACAAGAAAAGGTCTGCTAATAAGGGGGCACAATTGGTACCCATGGAAATTCCAATAGATTGTTGGACAACCTGGTCTCCAAAAACCACATAGATATTGTCAATCAGAAAC